CTCAGCACTGTGAAGCTATTGGCAGCCTCTGCAGCACGAGTTCCATCCCCAGCCAGGGAGCTACCCATATGGCGCAGCAGACCTCTCCTGTCTCCCTGTTGTGCCCCTCAGCAGTGTATTTCAGTCAATCCACCTGTTCTGCTCCCCACTCTGTCTCTGGTGAATCCTCTCACCCCCCACTCCTCTGGCTTGTACCCCAGCTCTTGTATGCATAAATAAATAAATCTTTAATTTTGTTCAAATGATCTCCAATCTGTTTCCAAAATGTTCAATAATTTGAGTTACAATAATGGGTGTCCTAGCAAGAAGGACACATTAATCGTCTATTTTAAATTGTTAAGCAAGAGAGTTCTACTGGGGGTGCAAGGGGGGGTAGTGCTTCCATATTGGCAAGATGGTTTATTTTCAAAAATCATAACTATGCTCTCCCTCCTAATGGTGAAATAATCCAAAGACTCTCCTTGTTCAGAAATCTGGATTTCCCAGCTTGCCAACCATAAGAGACACCTGTTTAAAGGTACACTGCTGGGCAGCTCCCAGGAATCCGCATTTCCAGTAAGTGACTCTAGTTACCTATCAGGCAAGTTTGGGCAACATTTCCCAGCAGAGGTGCTCAGCTTCCACCATGAACTAGCATCTCCTGCAGAGTGGAGAAAGCCAGTCAAAAGAACACCTGGACCCCTATGTTTATTGCAGCACTATTCATAATAGGTAGAACTTGGAAACAACCCAAAAATAGATAGATCAAAAATATGGTGCATATACACAATGGAATACTACTCAGCAATCAAGAAAGATAAACTCATGCCATTTGCAGCAACATGGATGGAACTAGAGGGAATGATGCTCAGTAAAACAGAAGAAAAAAGAAAAATATCAGATGGTTTTACTCATAGGAGGAATATGGGGGAACCAAATCATATATCAGGGGAAAAAATAATAACAAAACGCAACACAACAAAGCAAACATGGACAATTATAAATCAGAGACCTCCTGCAGGGCAGGAGGAGGGAGCAGGATCAGAGGGAGGGAGGGAGGAGCCCAGGGGACTGAGGTGATGGTGCACGGGTGCCTTGGGGAAGGAAGCTCTATGGGGACTACACCTGAGGGGGTGGGGGGAAGCAAACATTGTTTAAAAATGAACAATGATGTAAAATATATATAAATTAAAAAAATTCAGCAAAACTAACAAAAAGAGAGAGAATTGATGCCGTGGCCCCACCACAAAGTAATGGGCCATTCTTAAGCTGGCCTGTTCGTTGAGCTGCCCAGTCTGGTCACATGGAGCCAGGATGGAGAAGCACCACCTCTCAGCCCTGCTAGTCAGTGTCCATGGGCACCAGGACCAGCAAAGCAGCCCTGGGCCCCTGGCACTGGTTGGAACCTACCTGGGGACAAGCATTTCAGGACCGTGCACATGACAGCGTTACAGGTTGATGAGGCTGATCCTGTGCCTGTTAACACAGCAGGTACCTTTCCATCCTGGGAGGGAAGGATGTTGGATCACCCCCCTCCCTTCCTGTGGTGCCCCTCCCCCCAAAACACAGCTGAAAATCTTCCCAATGGCTTGGTCTTTCTCTTTATAGTCTTGTCTATTTAGAGTCAAGTGAAGAGGGATAGGGTGAGGCAAAACGATTCAACGGCATTCACGTCTCTTATGCAATCCAATGCCCCAGCGCGTTTTAATTGGCCGTTTCTGTTTCGTGTTCCGTAATCAGACAGTAAAGATCACCAGCATTCACACCTGGGACTTCATTTAGCGTTTTCTTTAATTAACGATGAAGACACTACAGTTCTAAGTACCAGACAGAATCGGGGGGAAAAAACCGAAAATTAAGCACAACACTATAAAGAAAACTTGGAAAAGTGAAACACTGCTAAATAAAAATATATACCTGGCCTGGTACCCATTACATATATACATAATACATGTTATACACATATATACAACAATGTTTTGGTAGCAATACAGACCACATTGGTCCTTTTGTACACAGATGAAGTAGCACCAAGAACAGCACCACCATCTTAAGATGATAAACCAAACTGCACATACATTAAATGAAAATATAATATATTTAATTTGGCCCACCCTGTAGCCAAGAGGTGTAAGGAAAGAACTTTGTAAGAAAAATTGCTCCAGGAACTACATTCTTAGGCCAATAGCGAAGTCCTAAAAAGAAAAATAAAGCACTGAAGATGTCTGTACACAGATAAGTTTTCCTGTTTACTGGATTTGTCCTATCACGTGGCATATGGTTAACACTGGAGAAATGAACAACACAGCAAAGAACAATTTAATGCCAGCTGAATGGTGAAAGATCTCTGGGCGTTGGTGTCACAAATGCCAAGTCATCAAATGCCAAGCCTTTCCTGGTTAGGAAAGGCAGGTAGCTGGGCAGCTAAGTCATAATGTTCTCCCATCTTATTAGCCAATTGTCAGCTCTTATTACTGATCAATTCCTGAAGAGTAAGGCCAAACAACTTCAGTATCATTCTGCTCCCTCCCAGCACATATCCATGTTCTGGTTACATGCATTGAGATGCCCAACACGTTTCTGACCCACACAGCCTCTGTCCACATTTAGAAGGCTAATTTATAGAACTATGGAAGGAAATCCAAGAGCTTATCTGGCCTGACTTTGGAGATGACCAAAGGCAGCAGTGTTTTACCCTGGGTGCTCTATTGACTACTATAATGGCTGTTTTTGCTCTACCTAACTTCACAGACTAGAGGTCTTTCTCTAGTCTCACATTTCCGCCCATCCCTAGAGGTGCTATGCTTCTTCCTCTCAAGTTTCTCAGCAGCCGATATGATGCAACATTACCTCCAACTAACACACTCATTGTCCTAGGAAACACTAGCCCCCACTTGTCAAGCCATTGCAAAGAAGCCAATTCATACTTGGCTTCCATCCATTCCCCATGGCAGCCTTCAAAAAGTCCCATCTCTTCCCAATTAGGGTCTTAATCCCTGGTGTTCTGGTGTTTCCCTGTGGTGTTTCCCTCTCTACTGACTTAGAGAGTCCTGCCAAAGCAGTTGGGGGCCCTCCACATTTCATGGCTCTATTGTCAGTGGATGATGAGCTCCCTCCCATTTTTAAATCACCTGCAGTAAGTAAAATGACAGTTTTCAACTATAAGGCATATACACAGAGGAGACAAGATTGAACAAAGCAGGGCTTCTGTGCTGCAAAGTACCATTTCTAGTAGAATGGTTTCTTCACACTTTCAATGTCTCAAAAGGACAGACAGCTAAGAAACCAGAGTCAGGAAAAGAAAGGTTAAGAAGCTCTACCTCTGGCTAGATGGTTTTGAGTGAATCCAGTTTTGCAGTCAACTTAGATTAGTCAAGAAGTCCCTGACCTTTGAAGTTAGAAAGCAACAGCGGCCAATGTAACATCAGCACTGATTTGTCACTATTGACTCAGGTGGTTGATCATTAATGGATTCTCTTCACTTCCACCTGGTTCTGGGACCTTTTTTTTTTTGTTACACTGAATAAAGATATCATCAAAGTCACACAACATATTTGTTCATTTCACAAAGGAGAATTTTAAAACTCTACCTAAGTGTCTAAGAAAGAGCACTGTGAGGGTTGGTGCCATGAAGAAAAATCCACTGACTTACAGGTTACCCAGAGGTCATGAGAAGCCCCATTGCTGTAGGCCCTTGGCTGGGCTACAAATACTTTGAAATGGATAAAAGCCAACTGTCCTCAATAGGAACTGAATACAAGGACTTAGCAGCAGATGTGGCTCAAGGTCAACCCCTCGAGCAGTCAGAGCACGCATTTTCTCATAAGTACCAGCAGCTCCCAGTTTTAAATCCGTGAAGTCTGCCACCATCAAACCCGGCACAGGCCCCTAACTACACAGAAATCTCTACCTTTACCCTATGGGACTTAACATCTGAGAAACCAAGCGACAGATTTTGCAGCCTGCTCATTTCTGTTCTCACCCAAAATGTCGATAATGCCATATGCAGAATTATCATGGTAATAATATATATGCCAAGTTTAGGGGCACTGAGAAATAACTACCAGCTTTACAGGAAAATGGCTGGTGCCTGACTTTGTCTATCTCTTCAACCGCTTATGTCCTCCTGGGCAAGACAGCCTGCTTTCTCCCTCCACTAGCAAGAGTAGGAATCAGATTTGAAAAATGAAAGCTAGTTTGACCAAGAAATTTCTTTTAGAGACATCTTTTATAAACAGTGGGAAAAAGCCTTCCCTACCAGATTTTTACCTTGGTAGTGTTCTCGCCTATAGGAAAATGAATTCATTCAGCAAGTTCCTTGAAAACAATGGATTCTATGGCTACCACCTATGGATCTTGGAAACTGATGAGCATGCAAATGATTACAATCTGCAAGAATTAGCAGCCCACATCAGTCTGTGAGGTACACGCTGCCTGGCTGACTGAACAGAAATGGGCTCGGAGGACCACTGTACCCCATGAGTAGAGCAGGGGGTTCCCCAACCCATCAATGAGGGCTAGCAGCCTCTGCAATGGCCCCCAACCCTGGCCCCTTCCTTGCAGCCTCACCCCGAGCCAGAGAGCTCGACCCGTTGGAGAGATAAAATGCTACTGCTCTTAACGGTGGGGCTGGGAAATCCTGACAGTTTACACCAGCTCCCAGGGAGTCTGATACTGGCACTTACACTTGAGGGAGTTTCCTGGTGCAAAGAGGAAAAACTCTGCAGGCAATGTCTTTAGGGTTACTCCCTGCCATTTCTTTTTCACAAGGAAATTCCCAGAGGTGTGTGGTTTTCCGAGTAAGAAAAGGATGAACATTTTCACCGCAGGCTAGATGTCTCAATAGCAGGCCATGATGCTGCCTGTGCTCACTGTCCCCTGGGTCTTACTAACTGACCACTCAGAGGCTAGACCCCAGCAAGGCAAATGGGCCAAGTGACGGTCAGCGCAGCTTGCCATTCTGGAACAGCTCGGGGAACATGAGATGGGGGTCTTAAGGAAAGGGTTGTGTAGCCCTGGTCATGAAAAACAGACCTTCTAGAATTTTGACTTCTGATTAGAAATTAAAAACAAGGGCTCACTTGTCTTTCCATCTTCTGGAGACAATGCAGGAAATGAAATATCCTAACGCGTGCACAGGAAAAATGGTGGCAATGGAGCAGGAAGCTTATAGACGTGGGGGGAGGGGGAGAAAAAAAGAGCCACAGTCTCTAGTTTATTATGAATAGAAAGAAATTTCCAGAATTTACAAACACCCACATTGTTCATTCCAAAGAGAGCTTTTGATGAGAAGGGATCACCCATGTCTCCTTCTCTTTACAGTATATACAATGGAAGACTTTGATTTCCTTTTCTTGTAATTTTGCTTCCATTCCATTGCCAATTTTCAGCTGACACTTGAAAATACCCAGTAGAATATTTCCTTCTTCAGTTTAATTAACATGGCCTATTGCCTTACTGGAAAAATACAAAATGAAGATTAATTCTTATAAGGATCTCAGCTCAACATCAGGGCTATATTACAAGAGATCATACCAGCAAATATAACTATACAATTGAGACCCTTCTATGGCACTATGATTCTTATATTATTTTTCTGAATTACAATCTGAAAACAAGGATTATACCCTACGCTACTCTTTTCTTAGCCTTGTTTAAGCACTTGCTCCACTCTTTACAACAGAACATTGTATACCTCAGTTCCACATCCCAAAAAAAGATGTGCTGTAAGAAAAGTTACATTTTAATTTAAAAAATTACACATATAAATCAAAACCTATGTTAAATATTTAATACTCTCTCCACCCAACTTGCACAGTCTTCTATGAAATAATTTACAATGATGCTTTGCATACACAGTTTCAGCAGCAGATGAAATGTATCTTGTGAATGCAATGAGAGTAAACCCAATCTCTCCCGGTGCGGTGGTGGCTGCATCCGCCCGTGTGGCCAGCTAAGTCCTTAAGGTTGAAGATGAAGTTTATGCAGACTCATTGTTCTGGTGTCACAGTGCTTTTTTTGCTTGGCACAATATAGAAGTGCAGTTCAGTCAACGAACTCCTGAGGATTGTATAAAGTAAACACACTGAAATGGAGACATCGTACCATCTACTGAGGAGGAAGATGTGAGGTCCTGGTTGTGAATCACGAAATAGTTAGAGTCTGGGTACCCATGAGTTAAAGGAGGATTTGCTGAGGTCATTTAGGTCTTCATTCTGAAAAAAGGAAAAAGAAGAATTGATCACCATGGGCATCTCATAAATCCAAGTTCATTCGCTTTTTTAGGGCTTCTCTTTAAAAGGGTGGTATCAGATAAAGCAAATTTACAGGCACAAATAGTACTGTGTACTGAAATTAAACCAACAAACTGTATTTAACTTTTTCTTTCAAAAGGCAAGAGGCTAAAGTAACCACATAGGCAAAGCAGTCAATATTAAATCAGTAAACAAATTGACGTGATTTGGAGACTTTTGAGGTTTAGCATAAAATGTAAAATGCTTTGATGTTCTTGGGATGGAAACAAAACCATATATTATAGCTCTTGTGTGAAACTACTCCAAAATATGGTATGCAGATTATAGTCTGGAGAAGCTTCTGGTTAAAAGGCCACTGCCGGTTTTAGAATTCAAACTTGCTTTATATTACAGAAGCTGAAATCAGTTTTTAAGGTGATATTGTTTGACACGAGAATTTCAGATGTAAAAACAGACCTAGTTCATCACTGAATGAAAAAAAAAGGGGGGGATTGTGATTTTGATCTAATAGAAATAATCTATTCTAGCAGAAGCATAATTCAAGAAGGAGCATCAACCATTCTCCCTCAGAGGGGAGACAGCTTTTCAACCTCATAAAGTCTCTTTTGCTCTCAAGTATTTCATTGGATGGTGCTTCTGAGGTCCCTAACTTCTCATGCATTCAATAGTTTTATATATATATATATATATATATATATATATATATATATATAAAACTATTGAAATAGTAGATGGTCCAGAGTAATAAATACATGTTGAATGAGCAAGTGGTTGCATTAAACACTATGGAGGATACAAAGGTGAATTCTGCTACAAACCCTGTTTCTTAGAAACTCTAGAAAGAAAGGTTAAATTCAATGCATAAACAGAATGCAAAAGTAGAAAGGATGAAGAATTCCAAGATGGATGCATAAGGGAAAAAATGTGAGATATGTGGAAGAGGTAAAGAATATATCTAGCTGAGACTATGAGGGAGGTAGCTCCCTGACCCACGTGGCTTAGCTGGAAGAAAAGGAATAATGTGGGGACTTGGAAACAGGGATTGTCTTTGTTGCCTCAGTGTAGCCACTCCAGAGCTTAGAGGAAGTGTTGACACATAGCAGATTCTCACCAATGAGTTGGATGAATGAGAGGAACAAAGCCCACTAGAGGAAAATGAAAGAACTTTCGGCCACGGAGGTTACAGGAGAAAGAAGGCCCTGGGGGATGAGAGCGCAGCCAAGGCCAGGCCAGGGGAGAAGTGGCTTTGCTGGAGCACAAAGTATCTGAAAAGAGATGGAAGGGGGGAAGCCTATAGGTGAGGATGGGGAGGAGGGTGAAGAAGCTGGGACACCAGGTCAAGAAGTCTTTACAGAAAAACAGAGACAACGCGTGTGACATGATCGAGACACAGCTGTGATGAATCCACACCAGTGACCAAGATGGCGGTGAGCTGTGTCAGTCACATAAGGTAACCTTGACCAATGGAATTTCTACCCCCCAACCCCCCACCCCCCACCCATCTCCTGGCTTTAGGGAGATTATGGCTACACCACGAGGCATCGTTCACTACTCATTTATGGCTTTCGGGTCAACTGAAATTTGCCAAATGAGGACTTGAGTTTTATGAGACTTGTTTATTTTAAAATGCTAACTCCACCTCTAAAGTGTTTGCAAACAGTGTTTTTCTACTTACATATGAAGATGACACAGAGACTCCAACAACAAAAAAAGCACTCCAGGCTTATCCCTTTCACTGCCGAAAAAGCAGGGGTTCCTTGGTGTGGTTTCTGCATGTGACAGGAAACCCCATCCTTCCCCACACCCCACAGTGCCATCTCCCTCTCTCTTCCATACGTCTGAGTCGCTCCTGGATTTCTATTTCCATCTATCAGAACACTCCTGCCTGAGTACCTGGAGATGGTGGAACACAGCCTCCTGGCGCTGGCCGCCTTCTAAGGAGGAAGGGCTTGAAACAAAGCAACTGCCAAATTTCCGAGGGGAAGGTGGAAGGGCCCACAGCCTGCTTCTCGTCTTGAGGCTGGCTGTCCTCCGCAACGGCTCCAGAGTAATAAATACATGTTGAATGAGGAAGTGGCGGCTCTGCATGAGCAAGCGAGCGGCTTAGCACAGGGACAAAGTGGAGCCAGTTTTGCTACCGCGTGTGCCCACCTGCGAGGATGCAGAGGGTGGGGACGGGGCTCCAGGAGCAGGCAGGAGGATGGCTACCTCGGGTGCGGAAATCTATTGCTTTGGGCCACTCTGAAAACATCCCTGTAATTTTCCACAAGTACGTATGTACGAAGAGCAGGAAACAAAATGATGTATCACGGGCACTATAGACCTTCCCTCCAAAGTATTGCATAGTCCTCTTCAAAGGCCTTTATCGTATGTCTTGATCCATGCGGGTCTCAGCCAGCAGTGTAACCTGCCGGCGCCACCATCCACGAATACATGGACGCAAATCAGGAAACAGGTACATGGAAGCAAATGGGGAAGCAGGCAGGAAGGCTGGAGGGAGGCAGGGACTGGGAGCCAACGGTTATAGACATGCAACAGAGACCTGCGGAAACTTCAAGGGGGAGTGTCAAGTTCACATCTGTCTTTTTACAAGTGTGTGTGTGTGTGTATTTTTAAATTTAGCTGCGAGTAAGGACAGATACTTAGCAGACCTCCCTCCCCGAGCATTGTCCTCCACTGCAGCCGCCTTGGGCTGAACACATATTCAATCAGCAGCCATTGCCGAAAGCGTTTGGGAATGCCTTCCCAAGTTGCCATTTCTGTTTTGCAACTGCCTCCTCAGCCATGGGCATATCCACTTGAATGGTCTCTACAGCTGCCAGTCCGGGCCCTTCTAGGCCGTGTTTGATCTTTAGAGATAGCCAAAGAGCTTTGAGAGTCAAATATGGTGACTAAAAGGGCTGAGGTAGCTGGGTTTTGATTCCCAGCTAGGTATTATTAAAAGCCAAAGAAGCCCAGAACTAAAGTTTAAAATACAGTTGTTCACGAAGGCTCTGATGAGTTTTGCTGGCAGGGAATTCTTGTAACCCCAGAGAGGGGCCTTCCACACATTTCCTGGGACTTAAGCTTCATCTGCCTATGTCCCTTCCTCTAGACACTTGCAGTCCAGAAGGACTGAGTTTAAATAAAACAACTCACTTGAAGAAAAGCAAACCTGTATATCACACATTTTGTTATTGAGGTATGTGTTTTTAAAAAAGCACTAGGCTACTGGTTATTCAATTCAATAAACATATATGGATAAACTATATGTTCAGTCACTCAACACATGTATATATGTGTGTATATATATATATGCAATTGTTGCATTATATATATGCAGTGATAAAGATAAATATATATGCAATGATACATGTATACATATAGATGTATGTGCAATTATGCAACAATAAGCAAAGAAAATGAAGACACGGCCTAAGGATGTTCCAAGCACTTTCTATACACAATCCCAGCGGACTTACGGCAACCAATATGAGGCCAATATTGCCACCATGTTTTACAAATACAAAAACTCATTTGTAACACACATAAACTAGAAAGGAAAAAACAAAGCCTTTCCCTGGAGAAGACTTGTGCAAATATCAGATGGTGACGTTCCTGCGATACAGTCTCTCACGTTACACCATTGGGGAATAACTTCTAAACCCAGAAATACCAAGCACCTGTCACGAGATTGACAAAATTTCATCACCACATCAGCATCTACTCTCCCCTTCCATGTTGTCTTCTCGTAAGCTAAAACCCACCTAATCCTGTTGCCAGTCATGCCGTTTTTTTAGCATTATCAAATAAGCCAACCCTTGAGCAATGCCACTTGAGACGTATGGATTATAGCACTACTGCACCCAGCAATCCAACTCCTAGACACGACCCCAGCAAACTGTGCCCACTAAAGCTGAAAAACAAACAAAGCTGCTTCCTGTCACACTGCCTCGGCCTACTGGTTCATTATCACAGTGAAAGCTGCTGAAACCAGTACACAGTTAGCATTTCAGCACAAGAGGGGGTCCCAATTCTCCCAGACACACATCTTCTGTCACACCGGTTGGCTTCAAGCTTGGGGCCAGTTAGTTGAGTGAGGTACATCAGTTACATACATCTTGTTAGAACATTGCTAGCAGCTTCTACTTTTACTGAGGAAATGGGAATAAAATATTACAAGTTGCTTGGTTATTGTAGCCAGAAAGTAACTTTTCCTTGAAAACAACTCTGCTTGAAAACAATGTCACAGCAGTGACTTCTCTTCAATGGACATCATTGTTTAAAACCTTGTATTATAGATCCAACTAGAAAAATTCGTGTTAATTCCTCCACTTGAAGAAATGTGTCGGAACAGCATATTTCTCTTTCACTTAAACCGCTATGGCTTTTTTGTAAAAATTCCTGAACCTATAGAAAGTCTATGACATACAGAAAAAATGCAAAGAAGGAATATTACTGGGAATTTCTGCCATTTGGTGAAAACCATGGTTAAACCACTATTTTAGTGTGGTTTTAATTTCATTATTTACTTAAAGGATTTGAAGCTGCAAAATGCAGCCTTTAAGGTCAAAAATGTTTAAGCAAGGAAAAAATTAATGTCTTAATCATCGTTCGATCTGTCCCCACCCCAGCACCCCCCGATTCACTGTGCGTGGTGAGAAGGATGAGGGTTGGAAATGGAACATGCTTCTGGCTTTGGTTTCTAGAAGCTGAAGTCCTTATGGGAATGGAAGAGGCAGCGTATTTAGAAAAACCAGGAGAGAAGAAGTATTCCTCTCAGCGGGAAGAGCCTCCCTTTGACTGAGAATAGAGGGAGGAAAGGTGAGAGGCGGCTTCAGAGGCCAGTGGGTAGCGCTTTCTTATTTTACACCATCACATTCAGCGGCATGCAACGCTCTCCTGTGATCATAATTCATTTCTTCAGCAACCTTATTGAAGCTGGGCAGTTCACTCAGGTACCACCCATTTGGGGCAGATGGAGACTTCTGGAATGCTTACTATCATAACAAAACACCTAATAAAACAAAGCAAAAGGTGTTTCTTTGTAAGCAGACCTGAAACCTGGGAAATGCGCCCCGTGCTGGCAGGGAGAGTTGTTCCTCCTGTAACCTTCACACGGCACCTCTCGGAGGGATAAATGAGACCACCAGTCTGTCTGATGAACTGCGAAACCCTCGTTAAAGGAAGTCCCTGGCCCAGGGCTTGAGTTCTATCCCCGGGGTTATGGGCCAGGCCGGCACCTGGGGTGGAAGTAGTATTTGCAGCCCCGCTCTGCTAGTTGTGCTAGTCACCCAAGGAAAAGGAAGGAAAGGTCAAATCCAGGGAACCTCTAGACACCGGGGGTGGGGGTGGGAGGCTTTCTGTTCTTTACTGGCAAAACAAGGATGGGGGGGGGGGGACTTTGACTGATGACAAACCTAAGCGTTAGAAAAGCATTCTCACTTACAAAACCTTCAGACCACCCCCGCACCCCCCCCAAAACAACCAAGTCAGGAATTAACTAAAGTGCTCAAGTCAAAGGTAAGACCAAGAAGTCCCCTACTTTATGATGAAAGGCAAAAGCCATTTTAGCTAAAGAAAGGAACCCAACATCTTTTAAGAGGCCAGAATTGAGCTGGGAGGACTTGGTTTCATGGTCTTAAATGGCAAAGGGTAACGGACCAGCCAAGCCAGGGCTTTATTGGAGCTGCTTAAACAGCACTTTAGCCTGGTACAAATCACATGGGAGAGGGTGGTGAACACAACAAGGTCTCTGGCCAGCCCTTCCAGTGCAGGGTTGCCAAGGAAGGAAATTCAGGGAGGGTGCCAACGTGTGAGAGGCCATCCTGCTCCAGTTCCCCTTTTGTCACAGGGAAGGACCTTCTGGCAGGGCTGGTGACTTCAGGAGACCACCATGGAAGAGAGGCACACCCAGAGAGAGGGAGGGAGTGACCAAGGAGGCAGCCACAGCCACAAGCCAAAGCAGGTGGAAGGGTCTGGATCCGTTTCAAGATGATTAGGGACTTACAGAGAAGATGGATGAAAAGAACAATAACAGCACATGGTTCTCAACCATTACCCGTCAATGATGCATGAAGGGAATCTGAATGAACATGCAGCGCTCTCTTAACTTCACAAATATTCATTTTGGTGATTTCCCTTTCTTTTGAGCAACAGGGAGTAGGCTGATAAAGCAAAAGATGAAGCAAATGGGGGTCGACACAGTAACAGCTCCCCTACCCCAGTGCAAATCAAAATGTCACAAATCTCTCTTCTACCAAAATTATAATAGGTTCCCAAAGACTTGACAGTCAAGGTTAAGGAACTCGGAAAGACATTCTGCTGTCAAGTCAGACCACATGTGCGAGGGGACAGGAAGCTTTCATTTTAACAGAGCACAACCAAAATAAACCTGTTACTCGAAGACATGAAAGTAATATGATATCATCTTCCCTACCTGAGAAAGAAAGTCATAAAAGCCAGTCTCTCTTCTGCTTGCATGGAAGCTATTTCTGCAGTCGATTTTCTCCCTCCCAGGAATTATATTCCAGAGCTGAAGTTTATATTGTAATTTCACATCATCTTTTTTTTTTTTTCCTATCATGTTCAAAAATATCAGTTTTATGGGACTGGCTTTGATACAAACCAGTAGTCTTAAATTAAAATTGCAGTTTAGTTTAAACCTTGGTGTAGAGATAGTAAAAAGTGTGGGCGATTTCCGTTTCATTTCAGAGAAAATGAACCGCCTTTTCTTTTTGTTAAATATTCAGATTTTGCATTTTTTTCCTTCCTCCCTGGAGACTTATCAGAAATCTTCAAGAAAGCAAGTGCCTGACTTTCCATTGGAGTCTCTTCCCAACTGTGTGTCTTATCAACGTTGCAGCATTGGCTCTTCCCTAACTGCCAGGACCAGGAACAGAACCAGCATCTGCACAGACCAGCAGCTGCACGCTCGGCCCTGGGTCTACAGCGAGCTGACGCAGGGACCATTAACACCGCTGACATCACTTTTGGCAGCTGAAGAAAAGGGGAAACCTGTGTTTAATCTATTTCCTGCTCACCACAAGTTTAGCTGGAGTCCCTGATGATATGGGTTGTGGTTGACTTTATGGAAGAACTCGGTAATGCCAGAGAAATGCATTGAACTGAACAAGCATCTTTACAAGGAACCACGAGGCTTTCAGCCGTGTGGCACTGATCTCCTTCCTGGAGGTGTTTTCGGTCATTAAACTGGCCTGCCCGAGGACAGGGCCACTCCCAACCGCCCTTCATAAGGTCAAGGTCAGGAGAAGATGTTCCCCACTACGCACTCATAGCATCGTCCCCCAAAACATCAAAATAAGTCACAGAAGAGATGTGACCTTCCTCATCCTTCTTGCTGTGCAAATGCCAAGTGCGGAAAGGATGGGAGGAAACTTCATTGGGGATTCTTTTAAGTCAAGTGAGCCGTTCTTTTTATAAAAATTTTTTTTCAGAGATTGTAAACAGTGAAAGGACATTCTGAAATCAGTTGAAACTGGTCATAAATATACAAGGATATGGCAGCATATTTGAAATGCATTCGCTGCACACGTCTCATTCTTTTACCATGTAAGTTTTTGTTTGAGAAATGCAAGTCACAAAGATTTCCGAGCTATGAGAGCGATTCTGGACAGCGAAGGTAAAGGAAGATGGGAGAGTCCTCTGCATCCTACACCACAGACATTGGCGCCTTTATGAAACTGGGTTATGTTGCTTACAGAAAAGCCTTGCAATAGATGAACATGTGCTTGCCTTGAATTGCCACACCCTGAGGGATAAGTAATCTCAGGCTGTTTGTTTTTGTTTTTTTGTTTGTTTTGTTTTTTTTTTTTTTTTTTTTTTGGTGTGGGACCCTTGCTGGCAGCTGGGGAACGAACCGGCACTGCAGAGGCTGCGGGCAGCCTCTCAGCCCAGCGCTCAACCGCTGCACCACCAGGGGAGGCCCTTATTTTTTTTTAGAAAAAAAATACACAATTTTTCAACTTTATAAAGGTATACTTAATGAAAAAGTGTGCCCATATTTAATGTACCTATTTTAGTGAATTTGGACATAGGCACACCTATGACACCATCACCCAATCAAGGCAATAAAAGAAAAATATGGAAGACTGCACCAGTCTGCGAGTCGGCCTTGCTCAGGGGCCATGCTGATCTCTACAGCGTTCAATTTTACTATGTTTATTGCAGCACTGTTTATAATTGCTAAGATATGGAAACAACCTAAACATCCCAAAACAGATGAATGGATCAAGACGATATGGCTCATCTCTACAACGGAATACTAGTCAGTGATCAAAAAACAGAATCATGCCACATGCAGCAACATGGATGGAGCTGGAAGGGCTTATGCTACGTGAAATAAGTCAGAAGGAGAAAGATAAATACTGGATGGTGTCGCTTATATGTGGAATACAGAGAAACTGAACAAAGGATCAGGAAAAAGACAAGCTGACCTTCGATCTGACGCATACTGCAGGGGACGGAGAGGGAGCGGGGTCAAAACAGGGGCAGGACGAGCATGAGCGACTGTGGCTGGACCCCAGCGGCTTGGTGGTGGGGTCCATACCTGAGGGAGAGATCAAAGACTGTCCAAAAATAAACAATGATGTAAGAAAATAAATGAATTTTATATTTAAAAATTTTTACTATAGATGCTGCTGAAACAAGCACCCTGATGCAATTTTGAGCTCTAAAAGGTAATTCAGGAAATTCAATCCAAACAAAAAGGTTATTTTGAGAATGAAAATGGAGCTATTAATGCCTGGCTGTTAAAACCAGTCGGTCTTTAAAAAGAATAACTCAAACTTACTTCCAAGTTAAAATTAAAAGGCGACTAAGACAACTCGGTTATCTCTTCTCTGTTGTTCTTGTCTCTGTGAGTTGGGGCAAGTCACTAACCCTCCTAGATCTCAGTGTTTCCATCCGTAACCTGGGGGTGATGGTACCCCGTTCCCAGGGTCCTCACAGAGGTTAAGTGAGGACCCACACGTCTACATGCTAGACACACGACCACACGAGTGATCACCCACACGTCTTCATGCTAGCCACACAACAGCACCCCACATCAGCTTTTACTCTAACTGTTCTCCTAAAGAATGACAAATCCTTGGATCTTGCATCTACTGCTGACACCTGAAAACACATCTGCCAGCAGGCGTGCACCCACAGACCAGATGCCAGCCAAGCACCGCAGCCGAAGCCAAGATCAGGCTGTGTCTTGGGACCAGAAATGTCACTTCTGAGAGGAGGTGGTAATGGGAAAATGCCAGAAGAAAAAGAAAAGGTAAAAGCAGCAGTAGTACAGCTAAAAATATGGGGCTGTGATAGCATTTTAAACAAAGACCCCCCCCCCCACAACGACATAGGGAGCAGCGGATTAAACATTATGGCGAAGCCTCAGCCTCTCTTCCTGGATGGTGAAGGAACACTCACTACAGAAACACCACAGAAAGGCCACTTCACTTGCTTTCCCAGAAGAAATTAGAGGCTCGAACCCACCTGCCCCCCTTCTGAGTCTAAGGAGAGACTCCAATGCTACATGAAAGAATTTGCAAAGAATTCTCATGAATAGGCTTCAGTGGGAGAGTCTTGTGTGCTGCTCCAGGTTCAAAGCATGTTTCTAATTGTTGGGGGGCGGGGGAGGGGTGGCTTTTGTTTCTGAATTTTTCTCCCCAATCTCTCATCTAAGAGACTCACTCCACAAGAGCCACGGCTGCCTGAGTCACTTGACGAAAAATTGAAATTGCTGCCAGATGTGCCCGTCTAATCGTTGGCAGCTGGGAGGAGGAACAAACTGGAAAGACGATCTGAAAGAATTGATAATGTATACATTGCTGGCCTCCCTGCGGCCTTTGAAATGGACAATGGTGCCGATTTCTAACTGGCTGCAAACACTTCTTTCTTGTCTGGGAGAAGCTGGGCAAATTCTTCCAGTTGACAAAGTGGAGCCTTTCACCCACTGACCCCAGAGCCCCAGGCCCCTCCCCTTCATCCCTCAGGTCACACTGCCACTTTGCTCTTGTCAGGAGCTGACATCTCTGCCTTTTCCTCTTTAACTGGGGAAATGGTACCGGTGAACCATCTCGAAGCCTGCTGGGCCAAAGTAGAGTGTTCTCATGGGGCTGAGCTGGTGGCCTGGCTGGACGAGACCCACCCTGAGGTCAGCAGTGCCAGATTAATAGTGGACTAAGGGGTGGTCACAACTCTTCACTAAGGAGGGCCTCCCCTGTGGCGCAGCAGGTTGAGTGCAGAGCTGTGAAGCTGTCAGCAGCCTCTGCAGCGCAGGTTCAATTCCTGGCCGGCCAGGGAGATACCCCACATGGCGCAGCAGACCTCTCCTGTCTCACCTGCTGCTCCCCTCAGCAGTGTATTTCAGTCAATCTGCCTGTTCTGCTCCCCACTCTGTCTCTGGTGAATCCTCTCACCCTCCACACCTCTGGCCTGTACCCCAGATCTTGTACGCATAAATAAATAAATCTTTAAAAAAAAAAAAAGCTTCACTAAGGGATCTTTCCTACGACTATTGATCAGTGGTCCTGAGGGGACCCCAGTCCCGAGGGAGATGAATGGGGTTTTTAAAGGGGCTCCATGGGCTCCCTGGGGCGCCCTCTGGACTCAAGTGAAAGTCACTCCTGGGGATAAGCACGTTTCTTGTTGCAGAGACTTGCCAGCCTTCCTCCGTCACTAACCCTCCCCCTCCGTCACTCGCTAGCGCAGTAGTTCTCCACGTGGGTGAGTGGGAATCATGTCTGTGCCCCAAGGGAGGTTTGGCAATGTCTAGAAACACTCTGGGTTGTGACATCTGGGGTTGGGGTGACGAGGGAAAGGTGCTACAGGCATGAAGTGGGTAGAGGCAGGAATACCATGAACCATCCACAATGCACAGCGCTGCCACCTGCAACGAGGAATTATCCAGCACAAATGTCAACACTGCAGAGGTTGAGAAATCTCACTCTGGGGCTGTCGCCTTTAGCAAGGAAGCCCGGGAAGCCGCCAAATGCGCTTGCCGGTGACTCGGGCCAAGCAGCTCCGGGGAGAGACAGCAGGGGGGACAGGTGTCCATGCGGCAGGTCTTGTTCCAGGGCCTGCTTTGCTTTCTGACTGCCCTACCATGGCGCCCATGTCCCTGTGGGTATCTCCCAAATTCTCGCAAATAGAAACTTCCCTCTGCCGTGACCCATTCCTGCATGACCTAGAAGAACTGGCTAGTTCATCTGATTAACCATTCCAGGCCCTGATGTTTTCATATGTCCCTTTTCCAAAGGAAAACAGGAGCCTCCCTGGTGCAATGTGAGAGCAGAACAATGGCTAGCAAAGGCATGATGGAGGCCAAGGCCACTGAGTGTGGGGAGGCCAGGGAGGGTGCCACACTGCTACCCCTATCCTGACCACAAAGGAGACCAATAAGAGGAAAGTCACGTCATCATTCCTGATCCTGGGTCTCCACTCAGCTCAGCCACTCCCTCCACGATCTCGCCCAGGTGCCCACTCTGCCTGCACAGTCCGGTACGATGGAGGAACTATCTCGTCTTCAGGATCATTTGGAAAACACCGTGAGGTAACAAGGAAGGATATTTCCAACAAAAAGACACTTTCCTCACTACTTGTGACTATTAGTCAAGTTCATGGCCTTTCAAGTATCTGGGGTCTTTAAAAAATATGGTAAGGATTAGGTCTCCTCAGTTCCAGAATTAGTCAACCTTTAAAACAAATACACAGCTTTGTTCAAAAAGAAAAAGGGCCTCCCTGGTGGCGCAGCGGGTTGAGTGCCACGCTATGAGGCTATCCACAGCCTCTGCAGTACGGGTTCAAGCCCCGGCCAGGGAACCAACGTGGCACAGCAGACCTCTCCTGTCTCACCCGCTGCTCCCCTCAGCAGTGTATTTCAGTCTGTCTGCCTGTTCTGTTCCCCGCTCTGTCTCTGGTGAATCCTCTCTGGCCTGTATGTACCCCAGCTCTTGTATGCATAAATAAATAAATCTTTTTTAAAAAGAAAAGAAAAAAACTACTCCAAAGTGAGAATACTTTTGTCAAGAGAAACAGAACACTTTTTCACTTTATATAATAAGTACCCACCTAGGAAGATGATCTGTCACAAAACAAAAACACCAAGTGGAAGACTCGAAAGGAAATTCCAGTTGCTGCTTCTAAGATGGGTCTTCCTGGGAAAACACTGTTAGGGTTGATTTCTCTGAACTGGAAGAAACACAGCCGAGGTGGGAGGGCTGGGACACACATCATCAGCAAGAATATACAGGGCTCAAAATTCTCAAACTCAGACAAGGAACAGAAAGAACTTGATTTCCAGGTGGGTAAATACAGAGCTTTTCAGATGGAACCTTAAGGTCAAGGTAAGAAGAACAGGATCTCCTCAAATACAGCCTCAGACACGGGTGCGGTCCTCAAGTACAGAAGGAAAACCTTCACAGCTTCAGTTCTCTGAGACACCGACTGCACATGCCTTCAAAACAGAACCAAACCATGTGATTTCGCCATTACCATCAAGAACTCCAGGCCGTCGTTAACAATTAACAGCCGTGTGATGCGCTCGGTGCAAATCTGCTCAAAAGCTGCCTTGGGTCCTTGTTCTAAAACCATGTCACAGTGGACAATGGCCAACCTGTTTCGTGGTTTCTCCACACTTTCTTTCCATCACAATATAAGGAAGAGCCAGACTAGATGAAGGTCCACGCCTTGCTCTTCAGAGACATTCCTCTTTCTCCCGTCTCCCCACCCTGAGGCTCTCCTCACTCCCAACCAATAGCAGGACCCACCAGGGCCCCTAAACACACAGCCCCTGACTGGCCACACATGGTTTCTTTGGAAATCCCCCTAGAGAATATCCAGTAGAGACCAAGGCCCTTCCCTTGTGGTGCAGGGGTTAAAGACAGTGCTACCAAGCAATCGGCAGCCACTGCGGCAAGACTTCGATCCCCGGCCAGCCAGGAAGCTGACCCACAGGGCACAGCAGACCTCTCCTGTCTCACCCGCTGCTCCCCTCAGCAGTGTATTTCAGTCAGTCTGCCTGTTCTGCTCCCCACTCTGTCTCTCGTGGATCCTCTCACCCCCCCACAACTCTGGCCTGTACCCCAGTTCTTGTATGCATAAATAAGTAAATCTTTTAAAAAAGAAAGAAAGAAAGAAAGGTCTTCCAGAGCCTGGCAGGCCGGCTGCCTAGTGAAAGAGGCACTGGGAAGGCG